CCTTAGACATCCAAACACTGCACAGACCCTGCCTATTGTGGTCACTTCTGGTTGGCGTGGTGGCCATCTTGGATTTCAGTTAAATGTTTTACAAGATTGTTCTTTAGACACAATGTTACTCTCCCTCTTGGGGAATTGTGTCAACTGTGTCAACCGATGACTCAAAATCAAGCAATCTTCAGAAATTTTCCAGCAATCTTCAGTATTACTGTTCGACCATTTGCAATATTATAACTTTGACTTTTCATTTGGAAATGTTGTATAACACAAATACAGGGTGTCCGAAAACAAAATGAAAGGAACCCTCAAATATTAATATTTGACGAGTTTAGTGGACAAAATGAAAAACTGGCGCTTATTTTGAATTGACCGTAACCTATTAAATATGTTTGGAAAGAGTTTTGAAAAGAGGGTGATTTGAGGTTTTTTTTACAGACTTGTAAGTATATGTGACTGCTCAAAAATCAAATTTAAAATCCAAATGCACCAATGCAAAAATTCTGCCCAAAAACTTAAAGTCAGTATGTTTCTTTTAAATTTTTTATTGCCTGCACATGCATATGAATTATTGGCAGAGTATATTAACACTCCGTATGCACTTTATCTGCTGCACGCAATTAGTCGTAATTGATCATAAACAGGAATGGAGTTGCAAGTATCCATATGTTGTTTTAATTTGTACGGATGGAATCTTAAGTATCCATATATTCTGCAAGTGTAGAGAATAAAATTACTTTTATGAGGTTCATTGCTCTTTTCCTTGTATAAATCTTGGCTATAAAGATTTTTTTCGTTATTAATGTGCGTCTGCCAGATTGTGATAACATGTATGTCCATAATTTAGAATTGCATATTGCGCTGTGAATGTTGCAGTTTATACCTGCAGAATTACAGAATATAAATTGCTTGTCATTCTCCTTGCCAGCCGTTTGTAAATTGTATTTCATGAATAGGAAACTCATAGACTATTATTAATGAACATGTACGGGAAATTAATGAAACTTGACGAATGTATATGATGCTTGCAAACTAGCAGAGACTGTGACCACAGAGACAACATGTGGTTAAGCTATTGTTTCAAATGTTGTATTTTAACTTGCTGGAAAGGAGTGTACCATGAAATATTCGTTTGAAACGGGCATCCTTAAAAATTGGTTGCATTGCTAGTTAGTCAAACAAAATACCATAACAATTAAAGTAGTATATGTAATTAATAAAAATGATCAAGAAGCCATTATCAGTTGATAGATTTTCCTCTATTTTTTGTGCTGCTTCAGGCTACAGCCAATCAATTTTTTCTTTTCTTAACTTTTCCCACAAATTGAAACTCGTCTTTCTTGTGTATTTAAAAACTGGATGCGCATTTTACATGTAATAAGCATAAGTTATTTTGGTGCAATTTAACTTAAATCGTCTAGCACAAATTCAGCCAATTAGTATGTTTTGTATAGTACAATAGAGTATTTGGGGTGATGTATGCTGGTATTTTAACTGCTTGTTGAAAGTCAGCAATTATGACTTTGCAATTACAAGCCTGTTGCCATATTTGGTTTTTGTAATTGATGGGAACAACATCCACATTTTGAAATAATTAAGCCATTATTTATCCACAGTCGCGCAGTCCACTTCCAATTTAATACCTGCATGACCAATTTCCTGATCTTACACTGATGCAGCAATATAACAAGAAAAATTAGAGATTAGAAAAAAAAACCCGAATGCAATGGATCACTTGAAAATAGTTATGACAGCTCTCCCCATCAACTGACCTTAAAGCTCTGATGAAAATTCTTCGAAATGATCTACAGGGAGAGAAAAACAAGCTCCGAGTGACATAGAAAAATGCTGAGACTTGAGAGAGAGTTTGAAATGTGCGAATGAGTTAAAACAGCAGATGGTAGATCGAGGTGTTGCGGAGCTCGGACCCACGGGGGGTATGACCTGAGCAAGCTGATTGGTGATAATTAGCTCCTTGATAAGTTCCCAGTATATCCACAGAAAACGGAATGACAAACCGAGAATTCTCGATTTCACAACAGAGTGAGCTTGAACCCCGAAAAGCAATCAAGTATCATGGCTGGATACTGCTATGCCAACTATGCCACGATTAGCTGTTGAAATATCAATTCGTATTTTGCAGACAATGTTTTTTTTCTTTCCCTTTCTCTCAGAAAGGAAAGTTATTTTTTTTTTTATAATATTTTTAATTGGATTCTGATGACCGGTCCCTGCAGGACGCTAGTCATTTGATAAGAGACACCTTTTGGTTGAAATATCGGAAGTCTTGTTGTTCACATCTAGATATCATGGAGGAATTTGCAGAGACAAATCCATGTTTATATTTGACTACTCTACTACTTTATATTTGGATTGCTTTTCGACATAAACGAATCGAATTTCAAGGGGGAAATGGATTTGGGATGTCAGGATTTTGTTATTTGCCCCATAATTGTTGCTTTTTAAAATTTGATTGTTTGCTTGCTGTTTCTAATTGCATGGTTGTGCCTACTTCAAGTGGCTCTAGATCTAATCCCACAATGAGACAAAATTCATAGCTTTCACAGTGTTTTGCCCTTTTTTTGAAAACAATGAAGCCATTGTTGTCCTATTATAAATAAGTATACAAGGATCGGTTCAATACGGTACATTGTGTAGACTTATGTGTATCGTTTGACTGCCCAATGTTGCTCGGTGTGAATGTTTGCAATGTTATTGGAAAGGCACATTAACTCCGAGGGTTCACGTCAGTTTATTGACCTTTAACGTTTCACCTTGTCAGTTGTCATCACCGTCAGTTGTCAAGACACAAAAAGATGTGCCAGGATTTAAAAGATATTTGTATTCATTTGTTGAAGTTGACACATTCGTTTAGTCTCATGCACACTCCAAAACCAACTTCTGTAAAAAGTAACTCTTGCTGACAATAAAGCCTAATGACAGTCACAATGAAAAGGCTTTACGTGATATGTCTGATTTTATCTGACAAAAGCATGTCGTGTCAGAACTACAATTCCAATCAAGGATATTCAAATACGGCCTTCAATTCACAGACACTTTCAAAAGGATGTCAGTCACGTCACACACAGAATCATCTAGAATAGCTTTGTATCATCAAGGCTGTTGTAGTACTTTTTTGCATTTGTTATCCATCACCTACAATTGATGCCATAATCCCAGACACTTCCACTTCATTCATATAAGTCTTTTTCCCCCTCCATTTTTTTGATTGATTATTGATTCCCGTTGTCAGAGACGGATGGGGTGTCGTCCACAAAGTCAGCGCTTTTACGCAGTGAGGGCTTTTCAGCCGGCAAACATGACAACCTGAAGTGCCCGAGCGCATTGCAAAGGGAAATCGATAAAGTCGTTCTCTCGCGATAATTATGAAATTGTGAAGTGTCTAAGAAAAGCATGTTACAAGTGTTGGTATTATTGCCGCAGGGCAAGTATTATTATTTTGTTTGCATGAGAGGATCACTCATCTCAAGGATTGCGAGTTGAAAGTCAGTTCTTTATTATCGGCCATGTAATGAAAGTTAGCCATGCGATGGATCTGTGATAATTGTTTCAATGAAGGATATCTGTTTCTGTTGTGCAATTAGTGCAATTCGGGCGATTCACCAAGAGTTTGCCATGGAGAGTCCATTTTTCAAGTTTACGGTCGACAAAACATGGCCCATTTGAATGAGTGTCGGTAGACAACTTGAGCTAATATGTCATAGATTGGGTCATAGCGTTCTGCCGCCTTACAGAAAACACCATATTGATAACAAGAAAAAAGAAAAGGGCAAACAGATCCTCGAATCATACGCTTACGAAACCACTGACCAAAAAAACTAACAATTTCAAATGTCCCGCGCTTCGAATTTGTCGACCATCTCCCACAATGCACTGGGAAAAATGAACTCTCCGTGGCAAACTCTTGGTGGCGCACTGCATTGTGAATCACCCGAATTCCTTCTATGGTACAATAAATACATGTACATGTACACCATCGGCATCAACCCAGACAAGAATATATTATGATTTTGAGAACAGTAAGACGAGCATTTCTGTTTCTTAGGCCGTATCCATGTTAGCGACTACAACCACTTCACATAGACTTGTGCATTATTTCCAGCCGTAACCAAGAAATTCGGACAATTACTTTTTATTTTTTATTAATACACATGATTTACATGTAATGCAAACTCCTGAGCCACCTTTGCCAAGTAATTCAGACAACGGTTTCCCGTAAAAGAAACTTAAACCCAAAATTCAAATCCAGGATGTTGTCTGAAGGGCTTTATAGATTTGCGGTTTAAACTGCAACTTTTGCGAGCGTCATCTGTCGCGCATTAAAATGCACATCAACGTGAAATCTGATTTGGTTTTCCGTGTAGCCTGGTTTTCATTTTGGAAATTTCTCACAAAATCTCATTCACAATCTTTTTACATTATGTAAGAAGTTGCTAAGTAATTTGTTAAATTGGGTACCCGTTCCCATAATCTCGAACTGGTTACTGACATCAGCGGTCGGGTACTCGGGTATCCGGTTCCAATGCACACCCCTAGTCCTTGACAATGTGTTCAAATGTCTCTCCCAGTGGCCTTCCCTAACTGGCACTTTATTATTGTTGAGGGGGTACTTGAGAAACCCATAAGACAGTGTTGTAATTGAGTCCTCAGTACACCACAAGTATTCCAATCTCTCGTTAAAAGTCAATTCGACAATATCAATTACAGTGAAAAGTGAGCTGTGAACAATGACAAATGTATTCCTTTGTCATCGTTCATTCCAACTGGACCTTGTGTGTAAGGTCTTGTGATTTACTTGTGATAAACTGTAATGGACGCGTCTACATAACTGTTGATGGGGCACCACAGAAGAATCAGCAAAATATCCACAAGAGATTATAAAAGAAACTTTTACAAGTTCAAGACCCATTATAAAAGCAAGAAGAAATAGGGTTTAAAAAGAAACAGTTTTAGACCAAGCAACATTATTGTTATCTTTGCAGGACTAGCTGGTCTGAAGGCACCTCTGCCGTTCAATGGTTATGACAGTCTGATGGCAGGGGCTTCACCCTACCTCCTGACCACCCACCCAGCCCTGGTCTCAAGCAGCGCCTTCCCTGGCCATCACATCTCCTCCCCATCGATCTACACCAATGGAAGCTTCATCACCAGTGCCGCCTCCATCCAGAACAGCCTTGGCAGCCCCAACAGCAAATCATCGTCGGGAAGCGGGGAGCACCCAGGCACCGACAACGAGAGCATATCGCCCCGGACTGACCACTCCTCGGGCGGCGGGCCCGGCTCGCGCGAGTTGGCCTCGCCGCCGGGCGACAGCGAGTTTAACGGTGAGGATAAGGAGGTGGATAGGAAGCACCAGCGAGCAATGGCCGCTATGGAACACAGCTTAGGTATGGCACCCCGAGATGCGATAATTGGCTACTGGTACAGACATGCACCTTGCACCAGACTTTTTTCGTCGTCATTTCTGTACGATTTGAAAATCAAGAATTGACCAAAAATCTTAGGTGTGGCACCCTTAGACACCAGAATTGGGTTCTGATACAGACCGCACGAGTGCACCAGACTACTTTCATCACAATGTTTTTGCAATTGAAAAAATTGATTGACGAAAACATCGTGAGTCCAGACTGGTAACTTGTATGTTCCCTTGAGCGTAGACACAAAAGCTGCCCATTATAGCAACATATGGCGCTTCTTCGCAGCAACTTATTGATTTGGGTTCTTTTCATGATTTGGTATTGCACAACATTTCATTTGATGCAGTAATTATGCACTAATTAACTCGGCAACACTTGACATTTCAAATTGTTAACTGTATCGGTATTTTCTACTCTTGGATATTTTAAAACACTGCAGCAACTTCACAGGTATTCTGTAACACAGGGTTAATATATATTTTTAGTTCGCCTGGCTTAAGTACATCATATATTTTGAAATTGAATTTAAAATTCATTCTAGACTTTAAAAACTGTCGGTAAATTTTTCCATTATTTTGTTTAACCCTAACCCCCTAGGTATATGCAGATATTACTGAAGAAATCAGGACCATTAAGGTTAAGGGAAATAGGATAATTTTGGTGTTTGTGGTAATTTTGAAAAGAACCAGAGCTTAACAGTTAACTTATTTCCCCGAATTTTCTTCTCGAAGCATCATTTCCCCGGAGAAGTCCGGTTCATACTTCACACGAATGTGAATGCAAAGTGAACGTGACATCAGAAAACCTTCGCTGCCAAATTTGCAGGACTTGATATGAGCTCAACATGTGCGAAACGCAGCGCAAATACGTGCCATGTCGTCACAAATTTGCGTTCACGTTCAGTATCGCGCTAAGTATGAACCAACCTTTACATGGTTGTAACCCCGTTTTCCATCCTGCACTTATTACAAAGCTGCAAATTTTATTCAGTTTTTTTTCTTTGTGTTTTTTGTTTGTTTTTTAGCAGCCCACGCTCGAGACGACCTCCCGACCACCTCCCCACCAAGCCACACCAACAACCATTCCAAGACATCACACATGAGTAAGCAATCTTTATCCCCCCTTACACAACCTCAACAGCAACAAGCGTGCCTACTTCATCTTTCCCAACATGTGGGGGACATTTTCCTGGCGCCTGGCCCCCCTGTTTTTCACGTACATGTACATGATCTTGGGCAATTTTTGTGCCACAAATAGCTACGAAAGCATTGTTATTGCAAAGTGCTTATTTTTTTGGCGCTGCCAGATTTTTGGGTTACGAAAGGTCAAAAGGGGAAGCATTAATTGACAGAATGTTGTTATATGGAAATTGGTGTATATATTTATGCCTACTTGGGAGAATCTTGTATAGATACTCTATTAAAAAAGATTTGAAACACCTATTTTGATTGGTCAAAGATTTTTACGACTTGTTGTTCAGGAAGGGTCAAATTTAAATTGATAATATGACCCATCGACCCAAAACGATTACAGCAGGATAATTTTTTAAGGGGTAGGGTCCAGAAACGTTGGAAAAAACTTTCCTTGTTAAATATGTTTGCCAAACAGCCATTTGGGTTTAAAAAAAAGAGCCTTTTTATAGTTTAAAAAAAAATTCGGATGTGATAAAAGGAGGTATCGTGGGGAGCAGAGTGGATTAAGCCGTGATCCCTTGGTGCTAATAGCCCCCTTTCCCTTCCCCCAAGGTTTTTAGAGGGTGTGGTTCCATGTGTGCAGTTTCAATTATAGGGGATTTCTTTTTTTAGTCTACTGCATAAACTGTACATATTGGGCCTGGCGGCCAAGTTGAAAAATAGGTTTTGAAGTAATGGCACTGGACCCAAAAGGAGATCCAAAACAGAGAGAAAAAGAAAACACGGGAAGGGAACTGAATTTCAACTGAAATGTTGTGTTAGTTTGTGTGAATCTTCACGTTTTAACAAAATGTGTATGGAGTCCTTTTTCTTATGCACAATTTCAAACGTAACTGTCCATTTGAATATGTTTTGGCCATACTCTCACTTAAATTCTGTCTTGGTCACTCTTCCCGAAGAAAAAGAAAATTATGCACAGACTGACTTTGCAATTTTCCGTCTGTCAGCCCGCCCAGTGAAAAACAAAAACATTGCAATTCGCAAAACAAATCTGAAAAGGAAGCTCCAGGAATAGATATGCTGCGAGCTGGTCGGGGGAAACAAGGGCATTTGTACCTCTTGCGGGAAGACAGATTAAAAACCAAGGCTCGGAGAAACATCTTAAGGAAAACATCTGTCAGATTAGCCCACCTTTATGTTATCTGCTGCCAATAACTTGGCGAGGAACTCCACTCAACCAACACAAAAACAGGAAACCTTCGATTCATTGTTGAGCAAGGCAGGGGGTATTTTTGTAACCCGGCGCCCCCTCAGGCTGGAGTGCCGTCAATGAGTTGGCAACTTTTTATCGGCGGTCCCAACCCCAGTAGACCGCCCTCATTCCTCGAATCCCCCGAATCCACGTGGCACGTCGCGACTCATATAAATACCTGGCTGGTAGTGGTGGTTGGTGGCTGCGTGGCCGAAACACTTAGCGCTTGTTTGACTGCTGAATTGCATACTTCACTGCTGCAAACCAGAAATGCTATTAGGGGAGAGGAAAGGAGTCGCCAATTCAGGAAATTGGCGCGCATTAGCTTGTCACTCGTGCTTCACCCGATGGCCTCAGTGTGTTACCGATGAGGGATTTTAGCCTGTCATTTCCCCCCCTCCTTAACGGCAAAGCTAGCTTTTTTATCGCGGCATTCGGGCTCCCCGGGGATGGGCCCTTACTGTCTCAACCCTTTAGTGTTTGTGTTGTTATTGGTCTGAAACAGCTCCAGTCCTTTATGAGTTATCGGCCGTGCCGACTCACGGGCAGCCGGCCGGCCGGCATAGGGTGAGTGCGACTTAATGCGTAGCAGGTTCGGGGGTAGACTTGACTATAACAGGAATCCCAGCAGCTGGTTAGAATGCAGGCTCCCAGTTCCTGTTGATATTTGTCTGTGTCATTTTGTCTAGTCAACCTTTTTACCTCGAGACCCCCTTTCCAACTTGTTTTTTTATAAATTAACTTATCAAATTAAGTAACGATGTCGAAAAATGCCGCCATGTGTTCGGAAGCAGAGGACCCTCGGTCATTGAACCGTGGCCAGCCATGCAGCGTACTACCGAGGGAAACTTGTAAAATGCAGCCTGGAAACTTTATCAAAGCCAAGTTGGCACACCCGTGAAAAATAAACTTTAACAAAAACCTGATGCCAAACATACACACATATTTGGTTTGTTTTTATAAACATATGACTTTGACATCAGTTGCTGTGTTGCCCTTGCACGCATCCTGAAAGTATTCTTAGCTTACAAGGTAATAGTGCAGATATTTTTTTCTAAATTTTTGTTCAACGCAGAATGTTGGGTCATAAGCAATATTATCAAATTCTTGATATAGGCAACATTAGAAAAACTTTGAAATTGGCCCTACACACCTTGGCATGTAAGATTCCAGAAATGATGATCGGCCTACCAATTAGGGATAATAATGATTAGTGAAATGGTGCTTTTCTGTTTCTTACACAGATGGCCTGCTGGCCGTGGATGTATCCAGCTCCCGATCCTCCTCCTCCCATTGCAATGTCTCGCCCGACAGGGAGCGACCGGTCCAGCCCAGCTCCCATTCCACCCCCCACCCACACCCCCATCCCCATCATCCCCATCATCACAATCCCCACTCCCTGAGTACCTCCATGGGTTTGTCCCTGGACCGTAGCGCCGCCGCTGCCGCTGCCAAGGAGATGTTTGCCCCCCAGGGCCCCTCCTCCATCGAGACGCTTCTGACCAACATCCAGGGTCTGGTGAAGGTTGCCGCTGACAACGCCCGGCAACAGGAGAAACACATTCACTTGGAAAGAGGTAAAAAAAAAAAGGGTGGAATTCATGAGATCACTAAGGAGTCATCTATCTAAATGTCAGGGATCAGTTGGGGACAAGTTTATCCTCAATAAGTCCATTGTTTTGATATAGTTGCAGGATTCTGAATGACATTTCGTTTACAACCAAATAGTTCAGAGTCCTGAAACTAATACCCAATACATTGTGCCCAATGCGGATAAACCTTCGGCGAGATGTCCTGGATGTTTTTTAGTCGACTCTTAAGCAAAAAAAATTCTGCTAGCCGAGCTTATGTACATTTCATGAACATCATGAGCATTTACCATTTGCAATAGCATACTTGGTTCAGAAACAATACTGATTCTAAAGACAGAAACACAATAGAATCTCACAGTAATCCTCACACAAGTATTAAGAAGTTATAAGGCCGGTTCATACTCCATATAAGTGAACAAGAATGGGAATTTGTGAGGTCATGGCAAGTATTAGTGCTGCGAATTCGCTAAAGTTGAACATGTTTCAACTCCGGCAAATTTTGCTGAGTTTGTTTCGTGAAGTCTAATTTGTTTGGCATTCACATTTGTGTGAAATATGAACCGCCTTTAATTGTGAAATGCCGTACATAACGGTAAACACAATTTTTGTTTTCTGCTATGGACTCTGTGCACATTTAACCATCAACACTGAAAAAGACAAGAGGGATGAAGGACACAAAGACTGCTCTTTGGGTTTGTGCACAAAACTGCACATTCATAATATAATTAATCATGAGTAGTTTACGGGAATGAGCATGAAGCAGTTACTACATGTCGTGTTTTCCATACTCTAAAGTTCGCATGGGAAGCATGCTGCAAAGCTCATCTCTTCTAAAAAATGGTGAAGTTGTACCTCCTTCTAATATCACACCTACCCCTACAAACAATGAGAACTGACACAGCAACACCTGCTGTTCCTCCTCACCCACCCCCTATTCCCACACCCCATCCACGCCCGCCCCTCTCCCCCGACTCGGCGCGACCCAGGAAATTGTCAATCTGTTTGTACACTTCCAGCGGCAGAAAACTGTCCCGTTGAACTGGGAACTGTTAAGGCACCGTTATTGGCTACAAGATCATGCTGTTTAAGAATTGTAATTAAGTTTGCAACTTCCTTTGGCTGTGGAATCCAAAACAGGTGATTTGCCTGTAGAGAGGTAGTTAAATGCCGGCTTTACGATTTTGGAGTTGCAGTTGGCTTTGTCAAATGTTACTTCAGTGGTCTGTTAAAACTATGGAAATAGTTCATGTTGGCGTTGAATAAAAACTGTTTAACATATTAGCACCCCTACTACATTTCATGACATTGTATGTATACCATGACGAATCCATAAAAACAGTGCTGGGGTGATTTTGAGCAGTACAGGGAGAAGCAAGCAGGGTGGTTTGGGGCCGTTCAGTGACTGATTGGTTAAAGTTCTTATATGCCATTTGGTGGTATTGTATTAGCAGACCCAACTTTTTAAAGAACGTAGAAGATATGTTGCCATTTTGAAGTCCAATTGCAGATTTAAATAAGCTATGTGATAACTGTAAGCTTCGTTTTGACTCTATCCAACAGCCGAGTTGAGACTCGAACTGCTGAGAGAACGAGAACTGAGAGAGTCGCTGGAGAAACAACTTATGGGCGAACAGAAGAGATTGGGTGCGTACCATGATAAATGTTACAGCGTTGTAGTTGAGGTACTTATTATAAGTACGTCACAAGTCCGGTCACAAGTTCATCACAAGTCAATTCACAAGAACATCACAAGTCCGGTCACAAGTACATCACAAGTCAATTCACAAGTACATCCCAAGTCATTTCACAAGTACATCACAAGTCTGGTCACAAGTCAATTCACAAGAAGGAAAGCCTTGTCACAGTTCATCCGAATAGCTTGTGATTTGACTTGGAACTGGATGACCTGCAATGGACTTTTGTTCGACTTGTTGTGATGACTTGTAATTCATCGTAAGTATCCTGACTACAACACCGTCTGATTTTAACGATGCATTCACGACTGCAATTGTTCCCTGTGTGAAACTTGAGCCGAGCAGAATTACCCAAGATTATTCAAGATAAACTGTCTTGCGATCAAGACATAATGACTCATCAAGTCTTGAGATGTTTGTGCCCATGAAACCCATCTCTAATTTCATAAACTTGGGGCTGAATTGAAAACCATCCCAGCTTTTTGCCAGAATAAACTTACATTGAGATAATTTCCTGTTTTGTTGGGGTTATTTATGGTCAAACTGGTGTTTCTGCGTGCATTCAAATCAGAAACATGGAGCCCAGTCCTACATACCTGCGATATGACAAGAATTAAGATCGGTTGGCCCCAGTAACAGCTGGTATGTGTCAGACATGGGTACCGGGGAAGCTGGTTTACATCCCCTTCTCATTCAACTTGTCGGGGTTGAGCGGGGTTCAAGTGGGGTTCAAGTTGGGACCACAAGAGGGCCTCCTTGCAACCCAGTAGCCTTGTGATCTTACAAGTAGAAGTTTAGATTCATATTATGCGGGTTGCCATTTTGTTGGTGGGACTGAAAAACACTGGGGGGATACGTACATTCATTGGGACTGAAAAACACTGGGGGGATACGTACATTCACAAAAAAGGCATTATGAAGGCAAAAAGAAAAAGGCAGGAAAGTCTAAAATCCCAACCACTTGATCCAGTTTTTTTCTGGCAGTAAAATGCTCCTGACAACATGATCCCATGGGGGGAATACCCAATTACTGTAAATGAGAAGAAATTTGCTGTGTAAGTATAATGGGATTCCTGAGCGCTGGACACAAAGTAGTTTCGTGGGTGAGTTCTGGGCCCAATTTCAGAGAGACGCTATGCTGAAAATTTGGCTTTGCAAAAATCTGCTGTCGCCCAGTCATAAACAATAAGACACTTCAGCAACACTGAATAAATCATGAGGAAGCAGGTGATGAATTATTAGCTGATTGTAGTGGCATTAGAAAAACCCAATATTCCAGAGAAACCAAAATATCTAAGTATTTTTTTCCCCGTTGTCTGTAGCCATCATCTTGAAACGACTGAAGAAAGAGAAGAAGGCCAGAAGACGTCTGCAGGAGCAACTGGAGCACAGCCACAGCAAGAGACACGGCATGACGTCAGAGACTGAGGCTGCGGCTATCGCAAGGCAGAACTCCACCGAGTCACTGCGAGCGCTCAACGGTGAGTGTGGTATGTATCGCTGAAAGCAGTCAGTGTGTTAAGTCGTGCAAAATCACGGGCTTCAGTGGGAAATTGGTAGGGGGGGCCGGATGTTGGTGAAAGGGTAGAGCTTGATAATGACATTTGTTGTGATGGTAGTTTACTGCTTAGTTTGGAACCTGAAAATATGTAAAACTACTGCAAACTGCTAACTACGTAGATTGACCTAAAATATACAAATCAAACTTGGAAGGCCTAACGTTTCAGTCCTGTCAGGATCTTTCTCAAAGGCAAATGTAACCTTTTCTTTTGCCTATGCCTCTAACTTTCTAATGTTTAATTCTGGAACCTAGGCAATTCTGTCAGTTAATGTAAAGAATAAACGACTAAACAAATGATTCAAAAATTGCCTGGATCCATACACTGTGTTTGTATTAAAGAAGTCAACTTTCCATTTGACTCTTGCCTTCATAAATTGGAAGACGGAAATTGCCTCCACTATTACGTAATCTTATAGATTGGAAAAGCTTTCAGAAGGTGACAGTGAGTGAATCGCTATACAGCTAGCAACAGCAAACTAGTTTTGCAACAGGAGACTGGCATTCCGACAACAATGCCAACTTTCAAAGGTTTTGACGAAATTGGGAAACTGTGATTAAATGTAAAGCTATTGCAAAGTTGCTGGTGTATACGCACTGCATCACAGAGATTGTACTTTCAAATACCACTCCTGTAAAATATCATTGTTCTTTTAATAAAATGTCATATAAATACCTGCCTGGTAGTAAAATCAAAAGCAGAGTCATTTACAAAAACATACAATAAATTTTGAATTTTAGCAGAATCTTTATCACATGAGTTGGAGAAGGAGCGCATCGCGAGAAGCGAATCGGACAAGAAGTCTGCGGCATCCGACAGCAGTCCGATGTCCTACAGTCCCCCGCCGCCAGCCCAACCACCATTCCAACAGGACCAAGCATGTAAGTACAGAGTAAAAATGGCCAACCTTAGAACACATGTACGTTGTTTATAATAGTTGGTGGGCTTTATACTTTGCCATGGAAAACAGCATCAAAGCATGGCTGTTAAATTTGTGTACTTGGCTGGGGTGGCTTTTATTAATTCACCTGGATGAGAAGAGGCTGGTGGGGATCGAACCTTAGACACTTGCAGTCACACTAGGCCAGTAGTTAGATGTATATCACATTATTATTTGACGAGAATCCATCTTTGTACCATGAACCTTTCTATTTACAAAATGAGAAGTATTAAGCCTCACCTCACCTAGAAGATGGTAAAGTGTCCTGCCCAAGGACATGATGACCATGATCACTGTGTCCCAGTTTGAGTAAGCGCCATTGTTCAAACCTTGGCAAAGTCTCTGGCGTTGGCTTCATCTCTCACTCCAGAGCCATTTGTAAGCTTTTAGTATTCAAAACAAATGGCTCCCAAATGATTAGGGTTGACACTATGGGATTGGAGGGTCCTGTAGGAGAACCTGAAGATGAACCGAGGTTTAGAGAAATGGCCCTTTACCATGAGACCATGGCTTGCTTGTATTTAGCCTTCATTTGGGTTTACATGGCCTACTTGTGCTTGCTTTTTCTACCCATCCCTCAAATTCTCAACAAAATATTGCTTCATATGTTGCTTCACCTCTGTGTAGTTTTTCCTTTCCCATTCATTTATGTATGTGCGTTGTGACTTGGTGTCGGAATTTGTGATGGTGTATGGTGTTAAAGTCTTGAGTCTGTTGTAAGAAATTCATTGTCATGTCAAATTCATTGTCATTTCGAAAAAAAGAAACTCTAGAAAAATGTTGATTTGTATTCTTTTGAAAGCCTAGTCTATGGAAAATAGAAGAACATTTATTTATGGTTTTCTTTCTGGGACAGTCATAAATTGAGAAGTGCATGTGCAAATAAAACCAAAAAAATACAAATTAATAACAAAAATAATATGCAGGCCTTTCCATACTGAAACAGTCACTGTTGATTGCCAGCAGAGTATCAAAGAATCACAGTTTTTGGCACAAGAGAATAAAGAATGTCCTTTTTGTAAGCTTGCAAGATGGCTGCCATAGTGCAAACCACTGAATGCAACCCCCAATTCACTCCTTCCGTAGATTATCGTTGGCAAGAAATGGAAGATGGAAGAATAAAACGCGTGATGGACTACTAAAAAGCTGTAGGCTGCAAAAGCTGTAACAAAGTGCAAATCATGAGGCAAGCACGTTTACTTTCGTATGCAAGTTTTAGTGTATTAGCCTTTTTGAGAAAAGGTGGTCATAATAGGACGGCACTACATGTATTTGGAAAGTACAAAAGAATTTACCCACTCAAAATATTGCCCTCCTATTGTGCACACCATATCTCAAAACAGGCTAATGAATAGACACCTTTGAGCTGAGCTTCTCTGATTGGTCAAGAGATCACCATGTGACCATTATCGGCATTTTGATTGGATTAGGGCTTGCTCGTGAACCAATCAGATTCACTGACACTGATGAGAAATGTCAGCTGCCAGAATCAAGCACGCAAATGCATGCATGCACAATTGCACCGTTAAAAAAGCACAATTTTTTTCAGAAAAAAATAATATATTTTATCTTTTTTTGCAGTTATCAATTTAATAAACAGTACATAAGTATAAACCAAGTTTTGCTTTCATGAGATATTGGATCTCAATTTTGAACTTTGATGTACACCTCGTAACATGTATTAGCCATGCAAAAAGTACTGTTAAAAATTAGTCCAATTAGTATTAATACCATCAGCCTCATTTCGCTGCAAAGCGAACATGCATGTGAACAGTGTTTAAAGTTGATGTTTTCATGCAAAGAGCTTGTCATTACCTCACAAAATACCATTTCCATTTTTTGCTTTGTGTAAAAAAAATCTAATCTTTTTTTCCTTCAAGTTTTGGTCAATTTGCACCCGTCATTTGTGTTGTGGTTATCACAGTTTTGCTAAATATCTCTGGAGCAAGCTAATCTGGAAAAAATATCAGAATCCAAAGTTATTTTTTACATGCAAGATTTTGAAGGATGAAACAGATAATGTGTGATCATGCAAAAGTAATAAGGTAGAATTGAGTGTAATGTACAATGTGTTGCCATTTGGGTCTATTTGTTTCGATCATGGTCAAGTACAAATGGCTTGGATTCCTATTTTTTCCAGTAGTTTTGTGGCAATTTTTTGGTTCAAAAGGATCCTTCTGTGCATGCCCAGGTATAATTTCAATTTATTTTTTGCACGTTTGTGTATGTGAATCGGTTTAAAATTCTGGGGAAAAACCATCAATGTGGATGTTTAGATTAGAAGTTTGTGGATTTTTTTCTTTGTAAGTTCCCAGTATAAATGAAGTTCTCGCATTTGATTTCAGATGCTCATCTGTATTACAAGCATGCAGCTATGTTCTCTGCCTAACCAAGTAGACTGGTCACCACAGCGGATGCCTGCTCGTGTCTCATCATTCCCAAGGGTAATCAGGCAGCAACGTTTGGATTATTGAGCTTCTGTGTGCAAAACCAATTGGTCTGGTGCCCAGAGACCAGGAAAGTCAACTGTGTTGGTATTATTAATGTATCGTATCTCATCTCTCACACAAGTGGATGCCGAATCAAACGGTATTATTCATAGTTTTGAATTCTCGAAATCCCTCAAGTCTCGGATGTTGAAAAAATTCAGTGTAAAATGCATTTCGTGGGCGGCCATCTTGGATTTTAAATATTTCTGATTGGGTGTATAGGTGAGTCCCAACAAAGATGCATGCAGTGTACAGAATAGTTAAATGACAAACTCGTCAGGTGGGATTCTTCATGTGGGCCATATGACCATCTGATTTTTTATTTATTTTAGACGATGCCAAACTGCTCGTGAGGAAAGCAGCATTTTTAATAAAGGAGTGTATAGTTTTTGAGTTTTCATAATTTATAGTTGCGAGTGTAATGTGATTTATTTTATTAACGAGTGGGACGTTTGTGAGTAAATAATGAATGACAATCATAGAAAATAGGACCAGTCTTATAGTGCATACATTCCCAGTGGAGTCCAGTGGAATTTCAGTATGGATCCCGGACTTCACAAGTGTTAAGTATCTTATAAGTATTAATCAGATTTTATTGAAGTAATACACTGTAGATAGATTGATGACATCCGAATTCACATCCCAGTAATACGTTATGATTTTTTGTTAATTGATGTTTTTATTCTTAATTAAATAAACACTCAGGGTCTTTTAACGGCTTACTCCCCTTGTTTTATTTATCTATGCACACATAGACGCAAATAACGAAGATGTAAATTTGGATATTTGTAAGGACCAAACATTCTTAAAACTGTACTTGCCGAAGTTATTCGATTCCAAACCGACCATTCATAAGGAAACACTTTCCGGTAAAATCAAAGGTGGTTTTTAACCATTAGGCATATCAGATTTGTTTATAGGTGGCAGTGTCATGTCAAAGTTTCATGTTAACTGAAGATGTCCTGTTGAATCTGTGGCTTGATTTCTTAACATCATTCACTTGAATGCAACTTTATTCGTGATTGGTATGTGAAGTACCACAAACGGTACAATTTGAGAAGTGCTGCTGCTCTTCTTAAGCCCTGCAATTTATTGCAACTGTTTTTCCATGTTTGGTGAAGCTATGAGCTCTTTCGTACGGGATATCGTAACAGTTAACTATTGTAAAGTGCATAGTCTATCTTGCTTTGATTGACACTGACCATATCATGTTATGTAAAACAACAAATTCACTAGTATTTAATGTGCAAGTTTGAATTTTAAACCCGACACATCTAAATGAATGGTAAGAAATCAAACAAATATTCATAAATAAATTTGCAGGCCTCATTTGTATAACTTGCATTTAGTCAACAAACTTTCTATATGCTACTAATACAAATGACAGATGCATTCTGTCATGATTGGCGCATGTCGTCTCTGAAGTCAGTCAACAATTGAAATACACTGCAAGTTTAAAGTCTGAAATTGGGCCTGTGTCCCTTGTCAATGCACACAAACATTCTATACAAATATAATGAAAGTTCAACAGAATTTGCAAGGCATCCTGGGATAGTACACAGCGTGGTATAACTAGGGTCACCATTTACCCTAATCCTGCAGTCTGCTAAATGAATCCTGTCTTTCGACAGATTTCTTGATTAGTAGTCGGCATGACAATCAATTTGAAAATTCACTAATCACTCCATGTAGAATTGAACTTGATTAAATTAATTTAAAGTGTGATGTATTCATTTAACGTATGAGTTTTCTAATCATATTTAAGACGACATTGAATAATTTCAGTTGTGTTTATCATGTAAATTAGCATCTAAAGTTAATCAGGAATGATGTAGCTTTCATTGAATTTTTGATTCAAGTTTAAAATGTGAAGTCATAATTATAGCTTTATGTTACTTTCAAACTGAAATCAGCCCATGACTTTAAAGCATCACACATTGAATATAAACAGGGCCACTTTCGAAAATGCATCAAATTAGTTTTTTGTTGTTCACAATCCAAACCATTGTTCTGTGAATTCTCTGATTGACTGTGGAAATGATTTCGAACAAAACTGTTTACAGTTTTTCAGGCATCAAATTTCCTTACTATCACTTGGAAATTCCATAGTTAGCTTTTAAATTTTTTCACAATGGTTACAGAAAAGAGTCTTGAAAAGCCATGGAGTAATTTCCGATCTATCTGTGGGATCTCTGACTACTCTGTAAAAAAATTCTAAAAATGCTTAGCTCAAGTTAACTGTATTACAACAGTCAAGAGTGAAAATGATTTGGGAAAATTCATAGAGCATCTTCATTTCCGCCTCTATTCCTTACTAGTCGGTATCAAATTTCTGTGACCAAACTGTAATTCCATGTTTCTGTGGACACGGAATATCAATTGTGTGTGCATGGAAAAGATTCCGGAAAAGGAAATAGTCAATATGATATTAACATTTTGCTGCCACGTTTTTCCTATGTTGTTTGTGCGCAAAATCTACTGCCAATAATAAACACTGTTTGTGACAATTAGTGGGAATCATCAATGAATAATAGACATGTTTTAAAATTGCTTTTTTTTGGGGGGGGGATGAGTGATAATGAGTGTTTATGTGAACCCCACAATGCAATACTTCTCTATTAACTGCATGTACCTTGTCATGGATAATTATATGATGATAAGAATAACTTGTGAAATTTTCTATCGAGAGAAATACCGGCTTGGGTGTAGGTTTTTTCATTCTTTTTTCTTTTTTCTATTTATCCCCGGTTCCCCGATACCAAAAGGACAGATGTGTGCTAAATTAAAGTTTGGTCACCAGGGTAACACATAGAATTAAAAGAAATTTAACAGTTGACTAAATGATTTTGTAATAATGTACATACTTTCCATTATTATGACTAAATCTTTGAAGATGAAATTTTGTGCCAAAATCTCTGTGAAATATTTGATACATGATGTGACATTGGAAGAATGCATCTTTTTCCAAACAAAATCATGTCCATGAAATCCTTCAGTAATTTTACAGATTCGTGTAATAATGTTCTTGACTATTTCAACCCACCTTGATGAATTTTAGCTCACAGTGCATCAAATTTCCAGCGAGATCTTTGATTCTTTTTGTTAGTTGTAGTTAAGCGCGATTTGACTGATAGTCTTTGGAAGTGGATGTGATATGGAGCATTGTGTGCCCAGGAAATTGTTGGGGATTTGGACATGCACGTAGGGAGTAGGCCCCATTCCGGTTTTAATATTGGATTCTGTGATTGATGGAATTCATGTCTTGTTGCATTTATATCAAATCTTCAGTGTTCTTACAAGCATCTTGATGGTCTCAATTCCTTATATATAAATATATTCTTTCATTGACATATTTGAAATGTAAATAAATAGCTAGATAGCTTACAGATGTACATACAAAAAAGTGAGCAATGTAATTAAAACATTTGTTTTTTTCTTGGAAAGGAACGTAATGCCAGAGCTTGCATGAGTTCTGGTGTATAACTAATATCGTGAAAAATTCCCGAAATTGATTTTTTTTTTCCACAGCTTTTCTTGTAAATCTTTCAATGAAAAAATTAATAATTTGTATTTTTGAATGTCTTTCTTGTAGTTAGCAGCAGTGTGCATGTGTCATTTTTGGATTCTGTAGGTTTGGATGTGTGTGTTTCTGGTAGGATCACTTCTAGTTGCAATCAGTTTTTGTAATATATAAATTGTTGATTTCTTTTGTTAGTTTTTAAACACTTGTACAAAGTTAAAGTTTGAATTGAGGATGTCCCACCATTTTGTTTTGGAGTAAAAGCAAAATATACAAACACCATTTTTTTTTTCTCTCGTGAGAGATCATTGGTGATAAGTTGCAATATGGATAATTTGACCCGTTCTAGGTTTTTTAATGTTATTTTGAAAAGTAATTCTGTAGATGCAAACTCATAATCTTCTCGGTGTAACCACGTCATAATGCATTTGAGTATTAAACCCACAATGGTTTACATAAGTCCTGTTTGTAAAATGTTTTGACATTTGGTTGAGATTGTCGGGGTCAATGGGGTTGCAAATCATTCAGTTTCCAAAATAAAAAAGTATTATTTATAGCTATTATTCATTTTGAAATGTTGTGTGGATGGAAAAACTGGCACTTAACATATCACTCATTGATGTAATTTGTTGGAATAGGTTTTTTAATTTAGGCAGTAACAAATTTCAGAATGAAGGTTTTGCACTTAATGGGTAAATGGTGTAAAGTTTGTTAAAAAAACTCATAAATTTCCCTCAAAATTGTGTGTTTTAAGAGGCAATTGCAACCCCATCCCTGCCAATTCTACCATGGGTTTCTTTCAGCAATTATGTAACTGCCATTAAATTAAAAAAACCTCTTATAATTCTTTCAAAAAAATCTTCAGAATCAACTCGTCGTGTAATTTATACATTCGACAAAGTGGTATTGCAATAAAAGAAAACTTTGTATTTTAATGCTGTTGTTGGTTTTCCCTTAAGTTGTCATTTTTGTTTTCTTTGAGTGGATTTAACTTTATTATTTTCGTGAAAATCCTCCAAAATCGTGGCAAGGCGAATAGAGGAAACCATTGTTCTTTCTTACCATTGCTCTCAAAACTATATCGAATGATATTTTTAGTACCTATAAAAGCCCCAACTTATTTAGAACCGAACCTATAAGTAAAACTTGCAGAATAAGATAACTTTATTCTTAGTAAATGATTCAGTACAAAGTCGTTAAATGACACACAATCTCTGCCAAAGAATGAGTTTAACGCACTATAAACACCCCACACAAAATCATCCTCACAAATTATCCTCCATAATTTTTTCCAACCGCCCATGTCTGCAGTATAAATTGGTCCAAACATATCACCAGTAAAGAGATTGAAGTTTAAGGGATACACATTCGTCTCCCCTAAAATAATTTCACATCTTCATTGGTGGGCAGTGCTTCTAAGTATCCATATTGGAATAAGCCCCCCCCCCCCTTTCCGGTCTCGATGCTATCCCGCCCCTAATGTTTTTTCTTCGTCTGGTACCCCGCCCGTGAGTGAATGTGATTTGATCAGTATACATGCTTTCAAATCGGAACCATCCTATTTTCCGCCATATCGATTGACCGCCACATTTCCGGCGATTTTATATCCGGCATGAAAAATTGTATTTTCCCCCGTGCCTGTTGACTTCCTAAATATCTCACTGAATGACTGGAACTGCGTCATGTGGACTGCACAAGAATATGCATAGAAATAAGTCGGTCTTCTTTGTTAGGTAAGTACATTTGTAAAATTGTGGAAACCTATATGACGTCACGTTTTTGAAATAGCCCGGGAAACTGCTTGGTTACACGTGCGTGTTTTTAGGCCTGCAGTTACGACGCATTCCCGACATTTTTTTTTCTGTTGGGAAAGTTTGGACATTGTTTCCCTATTTATGGTCAGGAACAATAACATCTTGGAAAGTAACCACGGCATGTGGAGTAGGACAATAAAGTTACTATAACAAGAAAAGTTAAAGAAAAGGTGAAATGTCAATCTGCTTTCAAATAACGAATACTTGAAGACTTTGTTTGCAAAATGCATCAAATACATTTTTGTTACCTTTCAGTAAGAATCACGCCCTCTCTTGGTTTCCCAAAGTCAATTTCGACGGTAAGCCAATGAATGTTCTGCAAGTTTTGCAACTTTTACATATCTTTCCACATGGATATATTTGCATTTCAAAGCCAATCTGTTTTGCAAATTTACACGTCTTTACAGAGATGGCAGTGGAGCCATGTGGCATAATCATGTATAGACTTAGCTTCGTTAATAGGGCTACCGTTCCGATTCAGCTGGCTTGCAGAACATCTCCGAAAAGCTACATAACAGTAGTTACATTTTAATAACCTCAAGAATGATTGGCTGAGAATATCAGGTAGAGTAGATTATATCAGCCTGTATTAAGCATGGACTTGTTTTTGTCCTTACACTGTTTGGAAACATCTCTTGGATTGATGAATGGCTTATTTGCATATAGATTCTGATTGGTAGAAAGTTTAAATATTGGTAGTAATATTATTGAACAGAATAAACAAATAAGTGAACACTTTGGCCATATTAAAATGCTAACGGTTTTTGTTATGTCAAGTACATCACTCAAACAATTGTGCCGACTCTTTCAAAATTCAAATCTGCCATCAAAACAATTCTGCTCATCTGAATTTTTCATTTGTCATGGTTGGACTCAAGAGGGCGCTCATGAAGGTTTTCCTGCTCTTCTGTATGTATATTTCATGTATTTGTGTTCTGGCTTTGCATATGCAGTTTTTGCCTTTTGTTATTAGAAAATGGGTTTTTTTCCCTCCGCAGTAAGAATTTTTTTCAGTAGTATGGTGTGGGGTTCAACACCAACCTAGAGCATGGCAGTCTGTTTCCTTAACCGCTTTACCTCGGCCCTTTCTTGAAAATTAGTGCAAATTGCTAAAATATAAACCTGAGGTTGTTTGTACTTTGACATTTAAATAACACTGATCAGTTTTCATGATGGCAAGGAGTACCCCTGGCAATTGTTTGGCAATCTGAGGGGCTGAGGGTTGGACACTTGGAGAGCCAGGGCTGAGGAGTCGAGTCCTATAGACAGGCTGACTGGAATCTAGGGGGGATGGGAGACGAGGGTTTTATTGGAGGGCAGGGAGAGTGGCTTTAGTTTATCTGAGCATGTAGATTGGTCTAAGGAATTAAGGGAAACTATTTCTAGGGGTTAGATGTTGCAATTGGAGGGACTGTTAATTTCTAACTCTACTTGTTCTCTATGGCCCCTAGCAATGCATGCACATAAAAATACTCTGGCAGCAGACAGTGTTCAAACAATTACAGCTGCATTTTCAAATTGAGTTAGCATTTTAAACGGATAATAGTACAAGGTACAGAGATCAGTTCTGTATTGTAACATTTGAAATGATTCATTTATTTAACTTGGAAAATGTACGTGAAAAAAAATGGGGAAAGTAGCACAAACACTGTTTAAGCATTTCTTTTAATACTGAAGTAAATTTGATGTAATGGTACATTTAAAGACTTTACAGTTCACACTGGGGTAAGTAATATGCATACGTATACATAGTTTAAAAGTCTTAAATCCTTACAGTTTTGCATACATTTCAAGTTTACTTGGTACAACTATCAGCAAATTAGCCTTTTTTAACACATTCAATTGTAGTTTTTACATTGTGTGAATGATAAGAGGCTAGCAAACATTTTCAGAACCAAATTCACATCATTTAATTTTAATTTTTCAGTGACGGCCTCACTAATGTTTGTGGTTAAATAATGCAATAAGTTGGGAGCGTTTTTTTTGTTTTGTTTAAAATTGCCACTGACATAGAAAGCAGAACTAAGATAAATATATTCAACTTCCAAGAACTCATATTTATCTGCCATTTTCCAATCATTAACTCAATAGAGCTTAATGAAATGAACACAAAGCACAAAACAAAACACAAAACTATCCTCTTGATCAAATACACAAAAATTATAAACATCAAACTGCATAACAATTTCACCCCAAGCACAAAACGGAAACAAAGAAATTGGAATCGAAATTGCAGAGAACACAATTATGGGCAAATTAATGAAGTACATGTAATTTGAACCTGAAAAGCTGTGGAAACGTGTTCTTGAAAAGTACAATGAAGACAAAATGGTGTCTTCTAATGTGTATCAACGTGTAATTGGGGGGTTTCAATGATGTCTGCGCATCACTGATCTCTACATACTGACTACATGTAGACAGTGCATGCAGTTATCGCTGTGCACAATAAAATGTGAAGCCACAGTGGGTAACGTTTTGGCCCCTCAATATGGCTGCTGCTACATTCAGCCCGTACAGTATAGTGCACTGCATGTAAATTGGTAGGTAAGCTGGCAGTGTGAATTTTTTTTTTTAAGATTATTAAAAACAAGGGTAGAGACAAAATGCTGTGTTGTAATGCACATGAACAATAATGCAGTGTTTAAATTGCATCTAAATTACAACAATTTCAGTAAAGTATGTTTTAAACATTCCCATATTTTAGGTATATTTTAAATGACTGTACATGTACACCGCATGTACATGTGGACAAATGCAATACACACACATTTTCTTTGTGCATATTTTTTTAATAAAGTATAGAACTTGAAGTTGACTTTGTGAACAGTCCATGTGTAATAAATAATGTGTATTTATATTTATCTTATCAATAATCTTCAGAACTAATTAATGCCAAAAAGGGTGTGCGAATGGTGCGAAAGATTTCAAGAAACTAAACTATATTGAATGCTAGTCTAAAAAGTCCTACAAACTAAAGATCCCATGAAAGAGATGATTTTAATTATCATTTTATCCATTACTGCATTAATATTGCAATCAAAATATGACGTTTAAAGCCGCCTTTCAATATTCGCCTTTTTTTTTTTAAAATCCATTACAGCGACTTTCACGGACGATCAGAACGGACACGCAATACGTACACGTAAAAGGGGATGTGTGCTACATAAGACCAAGAGTACATGCTACCGAGAAACATGCCATTTCAAAATAAGGTAGGTAGGTTGGGGATTATTTTATATGTTAACTTTTTTTAGCAAATTTATTTTTATGCTGATAAGAGCCATATATTCAGCCAAAACAGTTTCATTTTGCCAAGAAAACTTACCCCCCTCCCCCAAATAATTCAAACTTGCTTTAATTAAAGTGAAATTTATTTATTGGGAGGATGATGCTAGAATTTGACGTTGTGCACACCATTCAATGCACCATGACCAACACAGTCTGTATGGGCTCCGTGCGCCAACGAAAGAGGGCGCCCTTTTACCTAGCAAGGACGTCCCATGGGTGGGACATTTAGCTGGTTGGCGCGTACCGTTTCTTGTGTGTGACGCACGTACACCAGGGGATTTGTACTATGTATACGCAGTGGTACATGGTACGGCTGCGCGTCGCGGCAAAATTGCAGTCAGGCAAGATGGCATCAGTCGGTCGTCCCCAACTGTGCTTTCTTTGCCGGTGAGGGGGTACTTGTGAACAGAGCGGATTGTTTGGCTCAGTGTGAGTGGACTGCCATGTGTATCGGCAACCATGTGCTAGGGCTGTGCATCGGAACTGGGTACCCGAGTACCCAACCGTTGATGTCAGGACCCAGTTCTAGATTATGGGATCGGGTACCTGCAACCAACGTTACAAATTACTTAACAACTTCTTAGAAAATAAAAAAGAAAGGTTTTGAATGCCATTTGTGGGCAATTTTTAACACAACAACCAGGGTACATGGAAAAACCAAAACAGATTTCATGTTTATGGGCATTTAAAAATTCCAAATCATTCAGCTCCCACTGTACACACTTGTATCTTGTTGCATTGACGCATTGATGTGGTAGTGTCATAGTGCGCACCTTTATTAACAATCTTAACAGCAACTTCCGGGATATGAATTTTGGGATCGGTTTTCTTTTACGGGTATCTGGGTACCATTATTTTACTTTCCAAACTACCTGTAAATGCACACCACTACCACCTGCATGCACCAGAATTCGGAAAACACACTACTTTATATCGCTAAAATTTCGAGTGGTATTAAGACCTTAACATAAATAAATGGACGAAAGCTTCAGCAGTTGAGTGGCGTTTAAGTGGTACAAATAACAAATCAAAAAAATTCAACAGGTTTTTCCTTATACAGAGCGAGTCAAAAAAATGAAACCCAAATCGCAGGACCAATTTTTGGATGAACTTTTGTCTGTAGCACTTTCAAAATATAGGATATGAAAGCCCAATCAATGAGCTTTCTTTTAGTACAAAAATCATTCAAATCACTCTTGTACTTTTCAAGTTACGGAATTTTGAACACAAACCCCATTTTAAAGTTTTGTCTACGGATCACAAAATAGGTAAGTGTTTTTTCAGCTAAACAATTCACATGCATCTTATGGTCCTGCTATTGGGGTCCTTGTTTTTTTTTTACTCACCCTGAACAGCTACACCTTAACAGTGCACATAATACATTTAATCCAATTTTGAAGTTTAAGATTGGTTAACTGTATTTGGTTCAGCACAACTCCAGCTATTTCACCTCTACGTGACAGAGGAGCATGACATACATGTACGCATGTGCTGATTACTGTTGCTGAATGGGAGGAGCAAATCGCGAGATCATTCCGATGCATTTAGTCAGGAAGTTACGAAGAAAAGCAGGCGTGTTGGGCTTGCTGCAGTAGTTCTCTGTCACGATGCGCAGCTCGTGAAATATTTGCCTAATATAAGATAAATAGCAGTAAAGGAAACATTTGATCAAATCAAGTAATAACGAATTGATACTTTTTAACATGTTCATTGTTTAATGCTGACAATGGCCATGAATATCCAGAAACTTAATTAAAAGAAACTTCCTTAATATCTTAATCCTGAACTATTTTTGTCAACATGCGTAATCTTGAGTCTTTTCCCAAGGACTTCAAGGATTTTTTCAGGACTCATCGAATGCTGCTGAACTGGCTTACCCAAATACACAACATATTGGCTGGTAGCCCTCTGATTATGTGTCAAATGTTCCAGGACCATCAAAACCCAGAGGCAAGGCATTAATGTGGGCAGAAGCTTTATTGCCGCGAGTTTTGCAGTGCTGCTAGATTTCGGAACTTACTTGCAATAGGGGTTCCTCCGTGATGCATAGCGAAACGTCAAGAATCTGAAGTACATGAAGGGTACCAAGAAACTCACTCGCCCCCTGAGGAGAGAGCGGCAAATAAAAATCATATTTAAATAAACTATCAAAGTAATAATATTCGTCAAAAGTAAAATAAAGTCTTCCCCTGAGCCAATATTGTTCATTGGACCAGCGTACAAAATTGTCTTGAGGCTGAAAACTTAAGTTTAACACTTCACAGTCTTAATTTAATATTATTGAAAGTGACAATCTCTGCTGGATCCTAATTATTTGAGAACAATTGTGGGGTTCTCTTAGGTTTAACCCCCCCCCCCCCCCCAAAAAAAATCTCTTGGCATTTCAGCTTGAAACTTCAAAATCTTACAAAATCCACCACTGAGCAGGTTTTGTCATTTTGTGTTGAATGTTGTTGCATTTAGCAGGGTTTTGAGATGAAATATCCCAGGTAGTTTGGGCTATTATATTTTTCTGCTAGTTGGCTTCTGTCATTTGTTGTAATCATACTTACGTGAAGACCATGAATATAAGGAAGGGCATTAGGATGATCTCGTCCAGGGCAATGAAGCGTAGTATCTGGCTCTGTCTAGTGATAAGGTTATCCACCATCTTACGCACCAGGTACACGGAGTTAGGACCAATTATCTGAAATATCCAAGAAAAAACAGAAACTGTCAGATATTCAGATTTTTGGACGGGAAACTTGTATTACAGTTTTCATGTACATGTAGACCCACTCCTAAAAGATACCAATATTTTTTGTATGAAAGGCTGGTTCATATTCCAGGCAATTGTGAATACAAAGTGAATTTGATGTAGTAAAAAAATGGTTGCAAAATTGCTACAACGTCACTAATTTCCATTGTCACTAATCTTCATGCACGCGAAAGCATTTGAATGTCTTTGCCGTGAAAAAGAGTCTGCGGTTTGCCAAATTTCCTGCCATGGCAAGTACAAATTTTTCTACTAACCTGCAAGCAGTGCCACAAAATTGGTCCCTGACATTAACACACATAAAACCTATGTTTCTCTGTTTCAGAATTGTCCATTTTGCATCTCAGATGATCCTAAATCCTGTTCTTCTGTCATACTTACGTTGAGGAGTTTCTTGATGAAGTTGGATGCGTGTAACAGAGCGAATAGGAATGGGGGTGCCAACGCCACTGATGTAACTTAAAGTCAAGGTACATATACTTGAATGTTGCTTCTTAAATCATGCAAATCCGAAGCCAAGTGGACCTCATGGAAATGTGTACAGTTTTGTGAATTTGTAGTGATGTCACAAAATAATGTGTATTCATCTTATATTGCTCAAAGTATGGACCTGCATTAGAACCCTAACCCCCTAATAGTTCCCCAGGATTACCCTGCTAAATCCAACAGAGTCCGACGGTTACTTGTATGAGTTTCCTGCTCAATCCAACACAATCCAACTTGCCAAGTTGTTGGGTACCTGAAAATATTTAATGACTGGCATGCTCACTCCAACAGAATCCATCTGGGCCTTATTTTTCTCTTTGCTGCTGGATCCAACAGAGTCCAACTTGCTGTTATTTACCAGCACCTGAAAGAATCCAACTCTGAATGCTTTCAGTTGCCTGCTGAATCCAACAGATTGCAACAGGAATATAAACAAGGGGTTTACTGCTCAATCAAATATGACCCAATGGATATGTAAAATAGTGGGATCCTGTTGCATTGAGCAGGGTTAGGGATTTATCCATGCAGTAACGCTTACACTTTGGAACATTTTCACATGAATTAGCTGTTTGAACCAGAAAAATGGCTGCATCCAGCTGTATACTCTCCAGGGAACTTAGATGGTATAAGTAAGGAATGTTCCGTGGGCCCAGTGAGCAAGGGTAATAACAAGAGGTACATGAATATCCATATTTATTTATTTAGGCATGCAACTTGGTTTTTATAAAAAATGAGGAATCTCCAAACACACAAGACTTTGTACAGTGTTTTTCAATTAGTAATGGAATTCATGAGAAGTAAAAAACGAGGAAATCAGCAGAGCCGAGGAAAAGTTGCATGCCTGTTTATTATATCTACTGGAAAAAGGATACGTGTGATAGGGTGGCTGTTGACAAAGATGAGAGAGAAGAAGAGATTATGGCAGCTGTCTTCAAGAAGCAGGAGCGACAGGTAGACCCTGTTGAACTGAAATGTGGGTAGACGTTGCTGGAGCCTCAACGCGCTGGTTAGACCGTTACAGATGATGGCCCGCTGGTAGAAACCATAGGCTGACTGAGGACTGCAAAGCAAAAATATACAAGTGACAAATTGCAAATGCACTGTGTTCCGTCAAAACTTGACACTTTTGGGTAGAGCTTGAAATGGAGATATAACCAATCACTGTGGGCTCAGTGGGCGGATTTGTACTTCTAACTCTGTAATTCTAAATCTGTCCAAAATATACTGAACAAGTTTCGGATCAAGTTTGCTAGAACCCTGCCAAATGTAGCAACGTGCAACACTTGACTAAGTGACAAGCCTGCCAACTGTAGCAAGATCCATCAGGACAAAAGGCTTAAGGCCAAACTGCCTCAGAGACGGCAGTCAACGCACACAGCAGGGTACAACTGTGGCATTATTCAATGGGACTTAGCTCTCATTGTTTCAGAGCTGGCCACTCGTGCACTGGTGTTGGTAGCTGAATGCATGAAAGTGCACCAGTTCTTATCCACCTTTTTTGCGTCTGGCAGGGTTAGGGTTAAGGTGAATGAGGTGAAAAAGGGGGAAAATTGAACAATCTCTCACCCGTAGATTGGTACAAGATAGAACAAGCTGCAGATTACTGTAACCATCCGAGACATCCACAGGCAGAAATCTAGCTTGTTATTGGCAAGATAATTCTGAAAGGAGGGAGAAAAATACACACGTATTATACATAGGACACAGAGATACACTCTGAACAATTTGAATAATAAAGGTATCAATACAATGTACCTGAAAATGGGATTGGAACCATCCAGACACCCTCCTGAATCCTCCAAACTCCACCACATTTGTACATTTCTAACTTGATTTTTTAAGGGGCACTGGGCTCTACATGTGCCCTAAAAACCCCTAAAAACTCCTTCAAAGACTTCCAGGTGGATGTTGAAGGATCTATGAAACAATATGCGCATACCTTGAAAACTCAGTTTACCAAAAAAAATTGATGCTGCTTACGAAGCAGATATCAAGTTGATTTCAAGGCAAACATTGATGAGCTTGGTCAAAATTCAGTTTTGGGGGGTCTCTGCTACCTAACCTGTAAAATCCTAAATGTTACAGCTGATGTTGCATATTGAAGGATTCAGGCCTGTAAACTCCTTCTACTATCAACCGTCAATCTAAAATTGTGCACTTCCAAGTCATCATGTGTTCATTCCATGGTGTACATTACCGTGGAAGTGCTTATTTACTGTCTATCCGATGTTGACAAGTAGGCATACTCACTCCAACTGCAGCGAACCCCCCACCCTGATCGCCATTCTCTGATTGGTTGCTGCTGCTGCTGGTCCCTGACTGAGTGGTACCCTGACTCCCCTGTGCCTCATCATCACTGACTTCCTCAATAGTTGGCATGGTGCTGACTGGCTATGTATAACTGCTGGTTCAAATCTGATCTTTGTGACTGAAATAAACAAACAGTTTATTAGTAGTGTAAAAAGGTTCAAAATACTAAATGTCAATCGTAATCAATTCTGTTTCTGGGTACCATATATTGGAGTTTCCATGTGTTTACATTATAAGGAAATGCTACATTTTTGTGTGTGAAATGAATGTCTATTTTCATTTCTGTCATTGCAAAAGTCTGGGTGCATGACCAAATTATAATTTTTTTAATGTATATCTTTTTTTTTTTATGAAGGGTATGGCTCCTTTGCATTTTGTATCCGCAAAAAATAGAAGAATCAAACTGAAATCTTGGAACATCCGTGATCTTGGGGGGAAAAAAGAAATTAAAATATGCAACCGCCTCCTTCATTTTTAAGCCCAGACGACAAACTATTTCATTTTTTGCTTGGCATTATAATTTAGAATTAAACTGGATACCCATCAATACCCATCAATGCCCATCCGCCTGCGACTGCGAGACTTGAACTTAAAATAAGCATAACCATGACAGAAAGGTCTCAAACTTTTCCTAGGCACTATATAATTAATAAATTACACAATAAATTACACAAGGAAATAGGTGCCATGAGAAATCAGGAATCGATTCGTTAAGAAAACTGCCAAGTAATCATTGTAAAGCGCCCTCAAGGGCATTACAAAAAACAATGGATGAGAAAAAAATGTGTGTTGTGTTCTTCTTCATGTTCTTGTTTCTATCAGCCAGAGCAGGCTAATTTAGACAGTTTTTCCCTATACATGTAGAGATATCCAGATTTGTTCTTCCATTTATTTCAATTAACAAATCACCTTTCGGAATATATCAAAAATACTTGCCTTTTTGCAGAACGACCGGTCGAAAAATCGACAAAATGCACCAACACAGTATGGTATAGCGGTATGGTGTCCAGAGGAATGATGTATTTTCCCCGATGGTATCATTCAGTCATCAAGGGCCCAGACTAAAGTCTAGCGCCCTCTATAACACTACAGTGCCGGGAAATTCGGGGCGGGGCGGGGGATGTTCCTGTGGGTATATATTTTTTTAATTGACTACTGTTCAACATGGTTTAGTTTTTTTCATTGCTTGGCATTTACATTCCAACTCCATGCAAGGGGACTTTTGTATTTAAAAGGGAACGGGATTGTGTGTGTATGCGTCCACGTGGGGGGGGGGGGACTGGGGAGAGATAGAGTATAGCGCCTATTGACCACCGTATTGTCTTCCTTCCAGAAACATTCTTAGAAAAAAAACTAAGGAAAGTTTGGTTTTGTAAATGTTATTAATTGTCAAATATAATATAGGTAAGGGGAAACTGCACCTATACGAAGTAAGGCGGGGCACGGGCTTTACATTTAATAATGTTGTTATCCGAAACTTGAAAACAGTTTCCTACAAGAAGGTCTTCAACTAATGATAATGGAATCTTAAATAGCGCACGTATCTACCAACAGTTCGGTACTCAAGGCGCTGGAAAAATCAATTTGGTCGGTTTATTGGGTCATCATCCCAAGAACTGTTGAAATTAAGTCGCTTTTAAAATTTTAAAATAAATTCTCTTTTTAGAGTGGAGTGTCAATTTCACAGGTACCTATAAGACGTGGATTACTGTTCAACAAGTATATTTAAGCAAGATAATGTGGATGTGTACGTCTGCATGTAAGGCGGGAAAATTCTCCTGTTTCTGGTTAAAAAATAATTTCAAAAACAGTATGATTTAGTTTATTATTAACGTTTTCCTGTAAATTCTCTCTTCTCAAGCAAACAACCCATTCCATTAAAAATGAGCCAAAAGTGCTGCTTACGAAGTAAATTTAATAACTTAGAAGTTGTGGTTAAAAAAAATAGTTATTTTGTTTCATCAAAGTTGCCCGGCGGATTGATAAATAAAAAGTCCGAAATATTTGTCACATAATAATATAAAAAACACACTTACCATTTTCTCCTAACTTTTAATGAACGAGGCATATGCAAATTATTCAAATGTTTGTTTTGGCGTCCAGGCTCTGCGAAACACTGATTGGTGCACACGGGGGATTGAGCTCTGTGATTGGCTCAGCTTTGGGCGGAATATTTTTCCCATTGTTGGGAGAGCACGTGCGGCTGTTTGCGCACGGAGAAGCATTGTGCCGAAATTGACGGGACGCCATTTTGAAAGATGCAGACGAAAATTGCTGCCGAAGTTTGTTCTTGAAGACTTTTGAATGACTCCTTCAGCTTCCTCAATTTTCCAAGGAGAACGATAACGTGAAAGTGGTGGGAATCCGAGAAATGAAAATGTTCACCAATATTTTCTTGGTACGTTAAAAATGTAAGTAGCGAGGAAAGTTTCATTCGTCTTCAATTTGTTGCATGCACATGAAACGACATGCTACCACGACTACACCCCCGAACTCCCCTCTTTGCATTGCTATTTTCCATGTTGCGGTAAAACTATACTTTACAACCCCTTCTGCAACCTAAAGCAATTCCACTTGTTTTCGAGAAGACTTAAACTCTGACTTAATTATCAATTTTGGTTACTCTTGGGGGGGGGGGGTGGTGGCAACATTCCCCCCCCCCCGATAGTACAGGCCAATAACATTAAAAATGGATTTAGTTGTCTTTTTCAGGAAAGGGGTCCAGAAGTACACTTTGGCCATTTTTTTTCGTTTATCCAACAGAGACTGATCCTAAAGTTCTCTCTCAATTTTTTTTTTATTTAATTAAAATGGGAAGGGTTTTAAATTTAAACAATTATATTTGCAGTATACGGCATTCAATTTTAGTGGTGTAGCCTGTAAGCCTACAATGTCTAAAAACTCAAGACTACATTAATTAACATTTGAAGTCTGGAAGTACATATTTTCCTACTTGAACAATTTGGAATGTTTGTCACTCTTGAATTAATTAATTTCTGTAACAGTCATTTTAGGCTATAATACATGTAGGCCCCTATGTGGATTAAGTTGTTAAAAGAAATGAAAATTTAAGCAACTGAACAAACAAGAAATTGAACACCACTTGGCGGTTGTGTGCAAAGTCTACAGGCAGAACTTTTTAAAAAGTATTTTTTTTCACAAAATTGGAAATGTCTATCTGTACAATCTTCATGTGTTTTTAAATTGAGAAGCCTTGCTTGCCTAGCCCCATAAATGTGGCCTATTTACTGGACTGCCTCCGTAAACATAGGCAACACATCCACATGTACAAAAATCGTGTGGACTTTGCCAAATTTTGATTTTCACATTTAGGCTTAGTTTGTAGGATTTTTTTGCTTTAGAAGCATACTCACCCTCTTTATAGGCTTGTCAGAAAGTGCTGCCTTTTTCAGATGTCTAATTTTTGTGAAATTTCATGTTGAAATTTTGATACGCAAACGTGTAAAAACGAATCTGGAAATTTCACAAAAAATATACATCTGAAAAAGGCAGCACTTTCTGATTAGCCTATAAAGAGGGTGAGTATGCTTCTAAAGCAAAAAACCCCTACAAACTAAGCCTAAATGTGAAAATCAAAATTTGGCAAAGTCGACACGATTTTTGTACATGTGGATGTGTGGCCTATGTTTACGAAGGCAGTCCAGTAAATAGGCCACATTTATGGGGCTATGCTTGCCATACTGCAAAAAAAAAAATAAAAAAAAATAGAAGGCTCTGAAATGTTTGTCCTTTATCAGAGACTGATTCACATGAGATGATGAGACTATGACAAAGACAGCCAGTGAATGACCCTAGTTCTAAAGAATGTCTCACAAATACTAGACTTCCTCGGTATTTAGAGCAACATTTGTACCGTGATGAATGCTAAAATTTCTAAAAAGCAGTGATTCCTGCAATTAAACTATATTTTTACCCTTGACATTTGCTGTGGTTAATGATTATTAACTGGGGAATATCAAAAGGTCAAAGGTGCATGACCCATGACATCAAAAAAAAATCCTGCAGTCCTCCCTGACAATCTCCCAACACAAAAATTGGAAAGATATCCATATACGAAGTTCACTCAACACTCTGTGTACAAACCCTATGAGAGTGGACTGAAAATTTCTAAGTGCTTTCTAAGAAAATGCTTGTATTTTCTCACTGCTCAAATTGACTTTGATGACATGAAATTGCTATCTGGGGGCTTGTTAGTCAATACAGAGGAAAATTAGTGAACTTTGCATATGGTAATCTTGCCCAAAAATTAAGGTATAAAGAAGTTGTATGTATGTTCTTACTTTTTGTTGATTTAACCAACAGCTGTAGACCTGCATATTGCCTACTGATGTAGTTTCCCCAAGTTCCGTGGGACCTCCAACTGCAGAGAGCCCTACTATAGCTGGTGAGTTTGTAATGATTTGTAATCGTGTTACCAATCCACATTCCATCAAAACAAGACTAAACGTGCTCCAAAGAATTTGTAAGAACAACTGAAGGTAAAATAAACAAAAATTCTTATGTCACTGATTAACTCAAATCTTTATAAGAATAAGGTTTTGATGTTAATTACATCACCAAGAAAGTATCTCAGTTATTTCAACTACATGTATGTTGAGTGACTTATCAAAATCGCAAACCCTTGACTTGATATTCATGTATATTTACCCATATATATGGCTAAAACATTGATACTAAATGTCACAGGAATGCCTCTCTTTGATAAAGGATTTCCAGATATTACTTTGGAGGGGATAATTATTTCGGAAAATTATGAGAAACCAAATGAACAAAAAGTTGAGAACGTTTGGAATTAGGGGTGGTCTGGAGAGCTCCCATTCAATTCATCTACTCCATTTGTCTTGGTTCCAAAACGTCCTTAACAATGCAATTTCTAGCATGCATGGTTTATTGGACTGTGCAGTGATTCACCGAAGCGGGCGCCCTAATTAACACAAACGCCAGTGCCAATAGTTCGCAAAGGACATCGACCGAGTCAGGTTCGTGAATGGAAAGTACGCAGTATACAAGGCTGTACCGTCTATCATGAACTACTTAAGAACTCTTTCAATGCTTAAACAGCAACTAGCTAAAGTTCTAGATGATGGACTTTATTCACAAGTTGGCCATATTAAATTGAACTTGCGAGTACAAATGAAAGCAATGAAATGAAACTTCATTACAAATTAATACAGTCTCCTCTGATGAATAATTAATATTTGTGATTAAACATACCCTGATGTTTTAAACCACATGTAAACAAAAAAATTGTAATGCTTGTGGAATGCACTTCAATCTAAAAATAGTCTGGCACCATCCTATTCAACGGTAAGCAATTTATTAGATAGATTCAGAGAATACGATAAAAAATGGCTTCGTAGTGAATAAAGTCTACCTTGCTTGCTGGTTTGATGGAGTGTGGATTGGATACATACAAGTAGTCTTACCCTTTAGCAGTATTTTCTCACTCTGTCTTTGCCTTGTCTACTCACTTCATTTTCGTAAAGTGCCATTGGAAAGCCTGAGCAACTATCAGCTTTTTTTTTTTAAATCTCAATCCCTGCAAATAGGATACACAAACTTATTCATTATTGAAACTGGTTCATTTTTTTTAGTGCAAATACAGTCAAGTCCTATTTTCAGGCATCTCCTGTCTAAAATACAAAAATAAAATAATAAACATATTGAGATTCAGTTTGGGGTCTATTAGGTTTGTTAAGCCCTTGTATTTCTTTGCAGTTTTAAACTTAATTCTCAAATTCAAAATAAAGCTTTTATGTACATAAATCAAATTTTGCATTAATTAATAAATTTGAAAATGTTTTGTGTCCAAAAGAATGTTTCGAAAACATTATATTGTGAGTGTAGCAAGATAATGTGCAATTTATTGCTGTAAATTGTGCAAATGGATATCACTCAATACATGTGCTTAAGGGTTATTCGTGAGATTCACATTTCATAAAAGTTCGACACGTTTTTGTACATGGTGGAAGTGTGGCCTTTATTTACGGAGGTAGTCCAGTAAATTGGCCACATTTATGGGG